AAAATATTTGAGTGTCGTGACTTTTGATGTCGATATAATAGTTCATTTTTATTAAATTTTAGTCTCCTGTGCATACTATGCGTCGTTCAAATGTTGAACGACAGCCAAGTAATTAAAATTTTTTTCGTGTAAAAACGAAAAGAATTTTTTTTTTGTTATTAGATTTAATGACAATCGATAATCTTTTTCATATGGCTGATGATATTAATCGTGCAATTGGCGATCTTGTTACTGTCATAACTGAACCACAATCAACTACATCTTCAAATTATTATCAACAAATTGTAACTTAATGCAAAAAAAACCTCAGGCAAATGATTCGTTGTTCTTTCGTTTCATCTAATTATTATTTTTTTTCTATATGTGTGTGTGTGCATGTAATGTAATTAGAAAACATATTTTTAATTTATATTCTCAGGTAGAGTGATTATCGGATATGACTCATCATACAATTTTTTTCTTTTTTTCTTTTCTTTTGTTTTAAATTATTGTAGACAATATCTAAGTCATTGTTTCGATGTATCATTTTGTTGTTTTTGTCAATTTAGCATACATTTTAATATAATGAATAAAATAAAAAAATCTAAAAATATTCTAGATGTCAAGTTTTTTAACACGAAATTTAATCAATCGAGGAAGATTGATTTTTCAATGTCGAGGAATAGCATTATCATCATTGAAAGGTAATAATAAAACTAAAGAAGTTTCGACACCACCTAATACGGCTAATGTACAAGCGAGTAAAAAAACAGCTTTATATGATTTTCATTTAAATAATTCTGGACGCATGTGAGTTTCTTATTGATCAATTAAATCAAGTTTACATTTTTTTTTTGCCTATTTATTCAGGGTTAATTTTTGTGGTTGGACATTACCTGTACAATATTCTGCATCTGTTATACAATCTCATTTATATACACGTTCGAATGCTTCAATATTTGATGTTTCACATATGTTACAAATACATGTTAAAGGTTCTGATCGTATTCGATTTTTTGAAAAATTAATTGTATCTGATCTTGAAAATTTACCGGAAAATTCAGCATGTTTAACATTATATACAAATGATCGTGGCGGTATTCTTGATGATTTAATTGTTACAAAAACAAGTGAAGGTTATTTATTTGTTGTATCAAATGCTGGTCGAGCTATACAAGATCTTGCTCATTTACAGAGTCAACTTGAAAAAGCTAAACGACAAGGTTTAGATGTTGATATTGAAGTACTTAGTAATCAAGCATTACTTGCATTACAAGTAAAAACAAAATAATGATCTTGTTTATTTTATTTTATTTTATTTTTTATTATTATTAAGGGTCCACGTTCAGCTGAAGTACTTCAACCATATCTTCCATCATCATTAGATCTTTCAAAATTTTATTTTATGCAAACACGATTAACAAATTTTGATAATGATTCATCAATTCCATGTCGTATTAATCGTTCTGGTTATACGGGTGAAGATGGTTTTGAAATAAGTATATCAAATGTTAATGCTGAACGTGTTCTTAAATCTTTATTATCATCTGGTATTGCTCAAATGGCTGGTCTTGGTGCTCGTGATTCTCTTCGTCTTGAAGCTGGTCTTTGTTTATATGGAAATGATATTGATGAACAGACAACACCTATTGAAGCTGATTTAACATGGACTATTGGAAAACGACGAAGACAATTAGCTGATTTTCCAGGTGCAAAAATTATTTTAGAACAACTTGAAAAAGGTGCACCAAGAAAACGTATTGGAATAAAATCATCTGGTTCATGTCCAAGAAGTGGAGCAGAAATTCGAAATGATCGTGATGATAAAAGTCGTGTTATTGGAAAGGTAACAAGTGGTTGTCCATCACCATCACTTAAACTTATAAATATTGGCATGGCTTATGTTGAAACTCCATTTGCTAAAGTTGGTAATAAAGTAAATGTTAATATTCGTAATCGTACGGTTGAAGCTGAAATTGTTAAAATGCCATTTGTACCAGCACAATATTATAAAGCTCCAATCAGTAAAAAGAAAAAATAATCAAACATGGTTTATTTTATTATTTTCTTTTTGATAAACAAATTTCCAGCATAACATGTGATTAATGACTTTTCTTCTTCTTTTGTTTGTTTGATGAACAATCATTTATTCCGAAAAAAAAAAAACATTAAATAGATTTTTATTATTGATAAAATATAAGAGGATTATAGGATGAACTGGTTTTTTATTATTATTATGGGTTGGTTTGATACACGAGTCAATTGTAATGTGATAATATAAATGTATTCATTTTAATCTATAGTGATCGACATAAGTTTTAGAGAAGTTGTATGTTTGAATTTTCTTTCCGATGATAATATTAATAAAAAACATATTTGAGTAGCTGAAAGGATTCTCTATTATGATTGGTAGGCGTAAAAACTTCAAAACTAGTTTTCTAGCATCCATTTGAAGCTTTTCTATTTCATGTTGTATAATAGATCTTAGAGCTTTTCTTTTTTGTTTTTTTTAAATAGTTTTTGAAAGAGCAACTTTTTGACCGATGCCAATTTCTACAGAAACCAACTCTTTAAAGGAAACGCATACATAAGATTTTGCTTATTGTAATATCTAGTTCAATGCTCTACAATAATGTTGTCTCTCCATTCACACCCACATGCATCCAAAATGGTATAGTGAACTCAATATGCTAACTTCTGACATCTATAACACTAAACAAAGATTTTCTTAAGATTATGATTAAAGCTAATCTTATATCTTCTGCTTCACTAGTTCTGCAATGATATGAAATAAATTCAAGGAAAACATGCAATATTTTTGTTAACGAACTCTAAACCAGCTTCAGATCTATGTTACTATGTAGAAATACCCTAACAATCTTGTAAAAATTGAATGACAATTGATTCATCGATGAATGTGAGGCTTTTTCAAAAAATATTGTAAACAGAAAAAAACCACACACACACACAGACACATACACCTTTTTACATATATCTGAATAATCTTTCTTTCAATATAATTAAAGATTTTACATGGCGATCAGCGCCCGGTTCAAAGTTCAGATCAAGTGAGCTAAAAAACTGTTCGAATGGATCAAACCATGTGACAAAATTTGTTCATATCTCTAATTTCGACACTCTTGTGAAACATGATCTAAAAGGAGTGTTGAAGTATACAGGGTAGAAATTTGCACCCACTCGCAGCTACATCATATTTCATATGTTAATCCCGTTGAGATTACATTAACGACTTTTCTCAATAAATTTGAATTTATCTATATATCATATATTTCAATATGAAGAATTCTTTTTTTTTATTCTGTTAATTCAAATTATAGCTAGTTATCACGGTAGAATAGCCAATTCATCTAGCATAAGTGTCATTGTTTGACGAACGTCGATTCCGATTATTTGTCTTCGACACAGATCTATGCTCTTATAAATTCGTGGTATTTCCAGCGATTCTTCAGTAATATATTGTAAAGCATGTTCATATTCTACTAATGCTCGATCGTACTCAGCTATCAGAGCGTACTCACGAGCAGAACTTGTATAAACTAGAACCTACAAGGGATGTCGTTGTGGAAGTAAAGCTTGTTTACAATGAAAAATCGCTTGTTCATAGCATGCTAATACGGCTAGATGATCGTATCATTTTTGATAAAAGTGACCGCGATGTCTGTAACAACTGATAATGTTGTAATAATGTGGTAGGCCGATATAATTATGAGTCGAGATCACTCGTTGAAAGTATTCCATAGCCAACTCATATTGATTTTCATTTAATTCTGACGCTACATTAAGATAGCTGATGACCATTACCTCGTTATTTTCTGTTAGATACAATTGACAAAAGTCGAGTGCCGGATTAAAATAAGTTATAGCTGTTGAATTGTCACCTTTATCCCTATAAGCAGAGCCTATATTATTGAAGCAACGAGCTACATCAGGATGACGAGGTCGCTCACGCTCAATTATTGAAAGCCCATGTAAATATGCTCTTAAAGCTCCATCAAAATCTTCTTGAGCTTTCATGGCTATGCTCATATTGCTGAGAGCAATTGCTTCAAAAAGAGGATTTCGAGTTCGTGCTGACTGATATATGTGAAGAAATTTCTCGAAATTTAACAATGCCATTCAATATTGTCCTTGACGGTAATATGCTTCGTCCAATGTATTGTACATCGTACCTCGATGTGGATGTTTGTCTGGCAGCGATTGAATCTGATGAATAAGTGCCTATTCTGTACATTCGAAAGATTTCAATGAATTACCTAGAAAATTGTAGACTCTGCTCAAGCTGTTGTATACTTGAGCGATCATGTGATGATTTGATGGTAAATTTTTGTTTCGAATATCAAGTGTCTCTTGTAAATGGTACAAAGCCAGCTCATAACTGCATATGTCTGTGTAAAGAATACCAATTCGAATACACTTCCGATTGATAAGAGAATTTGATGTTCGTCTTTCATTACACCGGATTCAGATATAGCGGCAAATGGCACAGATGACATATCTATCTTGTCATATATGTATATTTCTTCTAGCACGCTTACTAGATCATTGGTTTATGCTGCACATATAAATTTTTCAGCAACCTCTTTGTCAAGATTAGTCGATACGAATGTATTGAAACAAATAATTTTTTTTTCGATAGTTGAAGCCAGAAGCATCTGAAGTTCATCTTTCGATATCATTGTACCTCGATAGACAATTATTGTTTGTTCCGAATTACGTTTTGAGTACTGTTTACAATACATTTCCTTAAGTTGATGATGCAAATCACGAATAAAAAAGCGAAAACTAAATAAGAGATCAATGTCATCAGTACGACAAGCTTGGTTAAAAAGACGAGAGAGAAAACCATTTTGGGTATACCAATTAATAGCATCGTTAGCCTGATGTGTTCGGTTGAATTCAAGAATTTTCTTTTGTACTGCCTTATTCTTGCTGTAAGCAAGAAAACTTTGTTGCCTCAAATTGTTTTTACTTCTTGCTGTTAAAGGCATTCGAAGAAGCACTTAAATAAGTAGTTGAAACCACATAAATTTAGCATTTTCATTATTCAATTTATCAAGTGCAATTTGTTGTGTATCATGACTAAAAACACAGTATCCAGACGGCCAACGTTGAATTAAATGTTTTTGTAAATCATCTTGCAACTTCTCAATAACTCTTTGTTCTTCATCTATATAGAAAATATCTCGAATACGAGTGTCTGCTTTCCAACGAAATAACCATTTATCACCAAGAACATAGATAAAGACAGTGATCTGAGAAGATAGAAACATAAGAGCTTCTTTTAAGAGTCGATCAACATAACGATCTCGTATGACAATAAGAAGAAGGCGAGATTCAGATGTATAATGAAGAATGAAAGATGAACATGCAGCCAAGTTAGTAAATGTATGGAGAGAAAACATAACATAATACTGAATATTAAGAGCTAAATCTTTGTCATTGATATCTCTATCGTCTAACCAAATGATATTACAATCTATCAGTACATTCATTGTAAGGATGATAATAAATAATAAAAGGCCGAAAAAAAGACTGAAGACCGAAACAAATCGAAAAAATATTATTGGCTATCATCGATATGAATCATATTTCAATCGTAAATTACCAATCACAATGTTTTCGGTTGTTTCCATTTTCGGCTTTTTATTATTACCCTTCATTGTAATATTAGTTTTTTTCTTGTGACATATGCACACATGAAAATTGTTTATTTGTGTAATGTCATCAATATATTTCTGTTTGTTTTATTCTTCTCATTGGCATAGAGGCTTATTTACAGAAAAATTTAAGGTTAAGATAAGCTACACTCATATGCTACACACACTAGTGTATGTAACTTATCTTTGCTTGTTTGAACCAATGGAGTTACTTTCCATATTTTATTTTCGTCTATCCAGAAATTGTGTGACATATGGTGAAAAAATGTATATAACCAGAATTGTTTGTTGAATTACAAGATATAATTTAAAATAAGATGCTTATGGAGGTGTGGGCATATGGGTGTAGGTTTGGATGCAGGTGACTGGATGTAAGGTATTGGTATGATTGTGACTGTAAATGGGTGTAGGTGAGGGATGTATGGGGGGGGGGGGGGTGGATGTGGGTATGGGTACCCGTGAAGGTGTGAGATGTCCGTGTAACTCGTGTCTTCATCCATGCCTAAGACGGATGCGTGTTTTTGCTGACTTGAATCGAAAGAAATATCTAAAACAACATGAATTTGCTTCTGTATTGGATGCTTTTTTCCAGACAATTGAAGAATTTTAAACTAATAGCCTCTCAACTATCAGCGACCGACAAGTTCACTTTTTTTCAGGATCTATTTTCCTTCTATCCGGTGATATACTGAGTGAGTAATGTCTTTCATATAAGTTTTGTAAAATTTTCAATTTTTAATTAACATAGATCCAGCATATGATTTAATTGATTCTTTCAGTAATTTGATTGGCTTTTTTTCTAAAAATAATGTCATATCCATCGCGATTGATTTTATCTTGTTCAGCATTAGACTATTTTACAGGCTATGAAAATAGTACCAACATCAAAATCAAAAATTCTTTAACAAAAAGATCAACTATTACAATTCAAAATGTAATTGTTGAACATGACAAAAAAATTGTGTATTTAAAAAAAGACGTATTGTTTATTTTTTTTTTGAAAGATAGATAATAAAAATAAATTAAAAAATTGTTTTAAATATTATCATTTAAAAAAATCTACAAAACCAAATGAATTAAAATGTGTAAATTTAGTTTTGAAATAAGAAAATAATATGTGAAAAAGATTCGCTATTTGAATATGATTGCAGAATATGACTACGAGTAGATTCGTATGCGATCAGATATTTTGATGGAGGTATTATGCGAGAATGTGTCGCAACGAGCACTTCATGTCGCATACAAATGTATTGTGCATTGTGTCGTATTTTACGACATATTTTATCTTAGTATGCAATGAATCATCAATAATCTCTTACGTGTATTATACATTACGTGCAACCACTTGATCGGTCACTGTTCAAACTTTTTTTTCATTCTATCCTCGATTACCTATCATTACTACGTGCTTTGTACTGAACACTGTATATATAAAAGAGGTATGGAGAGAGAAAAAAAATTGCACATAGTGACATGAAGTAACAAAATAAACATTGAATAGAACGGACAGAAGCTCATATCTCGATTGTCTTGTTTTATTTGCCGTCTTTGCAGCACCAAAACTATGTCAGAGCCTTCGATTGATTTGACAACAACAATTGCGACATTTTTTATTAGTAGTTCTCCTATCGGTCAAGAAACAATAACGAATTCTTCATGGATGAATGAGACGAAAATTTCATCAACATCGGATGCACCTCCATCACTCTTCGCAGGTTTTATTGGTTGTCTAGTTGCGTCGGTCTTCTTCGGTTCGAATTTTGTTCCCGTAAAACAGTATTCTACCGGAGACGGTTTCTTCTTTCAATTTGTCTACTGTGTTTCGGTCTGGGTTGTTGGTCTTGTACTTGATCTTTTTTTAGACAATCAACGATTCTATCCACTCGTACTTATTGGAGGTAAGACATAACTAAAAGCTCTATGTGCCAATCGAATTATTTTAGGCGCACTGTGGGCAACTGGCAATCTTGTCACGGTGTTTTGTATCAAGACATGTGGCTTAGCTGTTGGTCTCTTGATTTGGAGCACGACTTGTTTGATCATGGGTTGGGCAGGTGGTCGCTTCGGTATATTTGGTGTCAAACCACAAATTCCATCGACACCATTGAAACTAACCATAAATTATGCATCAGTCATATTGGCTGCGATAAGTGCCATCTTCTTTATTCTAATCAAGTCTAACAATACATCACCCAAGCCAAGTGAAGATTCCAGACCAGATGAAGAAGTCACAGTAGAACTGGAGAAGAAATCGGATACCAATCAAGTAACAGTCGAAGTAAAGACGGAAACCGACTTTCCGTTTCTCAATCGTCTTAATACAGTGTTTCAAAAGGCTCTCGGTTGCTTTCTGGCAGCGTTGGCTGGCATCTTCTATGGCCTGATGTTCATACCTGATCAATATATTCGTGATCATCCCGATAAATATCTGTACAAGGGAGAACGGCCTCCATCCAATGGTCTTTACTACATCAATTCGCAGTACTCAGGAATTTTACTTTCGTCTACCATCTACTTTATTATCTATGCACTTTTGAAACGTAATAGACCGGCCATCAACCCGATCATTGCGATACCAGCTATGGTCAGTGGATCATTGTGGGGCATCGCGAATATTGGCTTCATTGTGGCCATTAGTTCCTTGAAAGGTGCCGTTGCCTATCCCATTGTAGCTGTTCTACCAGGTGTTGTGACGTCACTTTGGTCATTATTCTGGTTTCGAGAAATTGTCGGCAAGAAAAATTACATCTATCTCGGATGTGGAATGTTTCTTCGATGTATCGCCGCTCTTTTCAGTGGTCTTTCGGCATAGAACTTTGTTCGTGAAGAACAGGAAGATTGTGCATGTTTAGCATAGATGTTTTTTTTTAATGTTTCTTTTTCTTTTATAATACATTGCAGTGTTAGTCTTGTTCATCGAAACATTTTAATAATAGAAGACAAAAAAGAATGGAACCGAATAATAACGTATCACAACGAAACACAGACAGAAAATCGCAATGGTATTTGGCGGTTTTTTTTTAGTAAATATGAATTAGAAGAGTCGTTCGAGAGAAGAACCTAAACCGAGTTCGTTTGCTGAGTATCTCCATGTCGTTACGTGACAGTTCCATTCAACGAGTTCAGCTTGAGCATTCTCATTTTTGTGGATCGATCTTCAAAACTTTGTCGTACGGTTTGATACATTTTGCATGATCGCCCATTTTCAATTGAGTCGAAAGTTTGAACTGTTTGACTTTCTCCTTGTCAGCATCGATTCCATTCGTCGGCAATTTGAGATTATTGGTAATGGTTGTATATTTTTTTCACAGCAACTTGATAGTGACCATCCTTTGAAAGCGAGAGAGAAGGTAGTAAAACAATGTGCAGAGCTATTTCTTACGCACTTTGAATAGTTCACTAGTACGTTTGTTTGAGTAGGTGTGAGTGTTTGTATAGGTGCAGAGAAGGGAAACACTCTTACCATATCCACATTCTAATTGACACGAATGTGTTGAACCAAATAATTTTTTTCCGACAATAAGAAGAAGGTGAGATTCAGGTGTACGATGAATAATGAAAGATGAACATACAGTCAAGTTAGTAAATGTGTTGAGAGAAAATATGACGTCATACTGAATATTAAGAGCTAAATCTTTGTCAATAAGATCTCCATCGTCCAACTAAATGGTATTACAATCTATAAATACATGTATTGTAATAGTAGTTTTTTCTATGATGACGTATGTACACATGGAAATTATCTATCTGTGTAATGCTATCAATATATTTCTGTTTGTTTTGTCATGTGAAGAAAACTTGAAATCATGCAAAACGACAAAAAATATCCCATATAGATGTCGTGAGCATTTGTTTTCATGCAAACAGCGCTAGAAGTTTTTTTCACCTGTTTCTCCAGAATGCAATTATAGCATACAAGTGTTTTGATATATTGAAGATGAATTTTATATTAAAAAAATTCTAGCCTTATAAGTCTTATATTATTTTCTATTTATTTTAGATTTAGTCGTATGACTTTTTCGATATAACTATTGAACTCTTATCTCGAAAAAAGTTTAACAATGATTTTATGAAATCTAACACGAAAGGAGAATCATTTCTTTTTAGTATAGACATGAAAGTGTAACACTTTCAACTTGTTTTATTTGTTTCAATGAAAATATTTTTCGATTGAAGTTGTTATTCATGTTAATCGGTTGTCAGTTATGGTCACTAACAAGACAATTGATGAGATCTGAACAATAATTGAAGTTCATATTTAATTAACATGCGTACAGATAGATAACATTTTGAACTTTAATTTGTTGGCAAGCTCTGAATTGTTTAGAGAATTTTTTAAGTTAATGTCTTATGCGAACAATATTAACTGATCAATAATAAAACAATCCAACGCTTATCCAAGTTTGTTCTCATTCAATAGAAATATTTGAAGAACAAAATCAATCTACTGATGTCCTCAACGTTATAACTAGTAATTAATCATTATCATTAGTGTATCCATTCTGTTTGCAAAGTAAAAAAAAGTAATCAATGCCAAAAATCTGATCGAGACTAGAGGCCGAAACAAGGAAAATTCTTTGTTCTCTGACTCGACCTTAATTGGTTTTCTTTCTCGCTTCAGTCCGTCTTTATTTTGATATTATTAATAACTATAATATGTACATTTACCATCCTCCATATAAAATCGAAATCACTATCAACACAAGAAAAAAAAAAGTGTTCTCTAAGTATTTTAAACAGATATCAACAGTGTCTGATCTTTTGTATCATAACTAGAGCATTGTTTTTGCCATATAGCACATTTTGAAATACCTATTAATGCAATCTATACTTGTATTAAATGTTTAAAGTCAAAAAGGAAAAATTTATCAAATTAAGAAGTATTCTTATCAATAAGTCGTATGAAGTTCCATTATAACAGTGTGAATACTATGCATAAGATTATTACTACTAACTCTCTTAAAGTATGAAAATTTAAATTTATGGTTCAGTCCATGTTTAAAATAGACGAGACATTTATTCAAATACAACTATTCAACAAGTATAATAAATAAAGATGTTTATTCCATATTCTCAAACTATATGGATAGATGATTATGTCATTTTCTAGTAAAATTTTATTTCAAAGATTAATTCTATTATCGAGAAAATATTTACTGAGTCATAGTCTTCTTATTAATTATTTTCATATTTGTTTATTTCTAAAATAAATTCAATTGAATTAACTACACAAATATGTTACCTTGTAAATTCAATTCCTATTACATCATGTTATAATATAATATTCCCGATCGGCATTATTCATATTATACTATTGAACATTCGAAATACTATTTTATTCTGTCATTGGAAATGAATAAAAGAAAAGAATATTACTTGAATTATTATTATTTTTTATTTTATTTGTCCATTACAGAAAAAAAAAAGGATCGACTATTTTAACCTTCAGAGACCAACTTGATCAATATACATACATGCACGATTCGTAATAGTAATATGACACAATCAAGTAGACAAAATGTGTGTATGTCTCTTTACAACTAAATGAAATTCAAGACAATATGATTGGTGCAATAATGATCACAAAAATACCGACAAATAACATCTAAAAATGAAGATATGATGAGACTCGTATCGATCTAGTAAATCTATTAATGATCATATAGGCGACAGTTGGATGTGGAGAGACCACTTCAAGAGTAATAATGTATATGTTATTTCAATGAGATAACTGAGCCGGAAATATGGACTGTGTGTGTTTCAAATAGTAATTTCTCTCTTTACTTTAATCAAGCAAGTTGTTGACCGCCTGGGGCATTCATTTTGTCTCTTTTTTTTTTTTCTTAATCATAAACACCTATCTTACATCGATTTTGTAATCATTAATATGTGTCTATAACTAGTAAGAATACCACCAGTCAGAAAAGGTGGTGAACTAATGATCTTCACCTCAACGTTTCCTCCGGGATTTTACATCTTTAATCATCTATTGTACATAAGCGTCATTATTATATATGAATAAAAGACAAGAGAAAGAAAGAGAGAGAGACAGAGAAAAGGAAAAGAAAAGTAATGTTCGCTTTTTCCTTTCTTTTCATCATCACTATACCTATTATGCGCTTGGAAGAACATCCGATGTCGTATCTCTTTCATTTTTTCTTCCGATAAACGAACTTGATACACCTTTTTTTTTCTTTGTTTTCTGTTAAATCTTTTTTTTATAAACTTTACAACTTTTGTAAAAAAAAATCGAATGCATGTTTGACAAGCACAATTCGTTAAGTAAGTTCGACATAAAAAAAAAAATATCATTTTTTTTGTTTTGTTTTGAAAAGGAAACAACTGTCTGACATTTTCTTGTGAATGGAAATGATCATTGCTTAGTTATTAGAGCAGAATGATCTAATGAACTGAATTTCCGGTTGACCAATGATTACTTTTTGAAACAAAAAAATTGCGTGTCAGATTGAAATAAAACTGTAATAGTATTCTTTCTTTGAGGTTGTCATTATCAAAATGACTTCCATTGAAAAAGATTAGTAATTGTGTTGTTTGTACAAACTTTATCGATATATATATGCAGAACATCAGCAGATGGTACACATATTAATTATAGTGAGATTGATTTCTGTACAAATTTCAAAAAGATGTTCTGACCATATCATTGAACTGAAATGAATTAAATTTAATGAAAAAAAGAAAAAAAAAATCAAAGAGACAACTGAAGCATTCAAGTAGAAACATATATACTATGTATAATATGAAGTTTCGAAATAAGAGATATTTATCTATTGTTTCATAATAAGAAAATTGTAACTGTCTATACATCATTCAAATGATTAATTTCTATCGAGACACCTATACATTCGCACGTTTGATTTATCTTCAATACAAATATGTTCAACTGATATCGCCTCATCCTTCTCTGGTTTTTGATCATTCATTGTTCATCGTATCCTTTCGCCATCCAATATACATTATTATTCGATTGTGATCTTTATCGTATTTGATGATAGTATATGCGCACGAGTATAAAAAAAGAAATTTTGTATGATCTGTACAAGATTTATTAGTATTCATTCCTGTTATCATACATTAAAATATCGAACTAATAAGCGATGATATATCATTTAAAAGAAAAAGATGAGATGACACAATATGTATGTTATGCTCAATAATCGCTAATTCAATTAAACTACTCATACCTATAAAGAGAATGTTTATGTCATCTTTGTATATAATATGTAATCTTGTGTATAGTTTAATCATGCGAAACAGTAAGCGAACTCTTTATGTCGTGTACAAATATGATCTACAATGTACACTTCTATTCGACTAATCATCAATCGAGCGATCAAATTAAAAGAAAATAAAACTCGAAAGTATGTCTGTAGTTTTTTATTTTACGATTGAATAAATCGTTTTTTCGACGGTTGTATATATATATATATACATTTCTAATCATCAAAAATATCAGTAATAATCTATCCTTATTGGTATAAAACTTTTAATTTTCGACATTGACAATTGTGCTCTGTCAATTTATTATCATATATTATACTGATATTCGATTGATTAATAATTAAAAAAAAAAATTAACATTTATGATTTTTTTTTTAGATAATAGATAAAATGATTTGTTTGTTTTTATTATTACTTACGATATCTAATACGAAACAATTTGATCTCGGTAATTATTGAATTGAATTAAGAATAAAATAATTTTTGAATTTTCATTTTAAGAAACATGTCGATATCCATTGGGTATTGAAACAGGAAAAATATTAGATTCAGCTTTTTCATCAAGTAGTTATGCTCGAGAAAGTACAACAGCATCTAAAGCAAGGTAAGATCATTCAATTTTTATTTATTATTTAAAACAAAAAAAAACAAAGAAAATTTTTATGTTAAAATAGAATTCGAAGTGAAACAGATGGATGGTGTCCATTAAATCGAATTTCATCAACAACATATGAATATATACAAATTGATTTAGTTAATTTAACTGTTATTACACTTATTGAACTTCAAGGAAAATTTAGTTTAATACCAGTAAGAAAGACAAAAAAAAAAGAATTTTTTTTGTTTTCATTTTCTAATCTTATCTTAAGAATGAACAATTTGCCGATGCATTTCGGATTGAATATAGACGAGAAAATGAACAAAAATGGATTAAATATAAATATTTCTCTGGACAATATGTAAGAATAATATTTATTTCAAATTGAGTCTATTTAAAAAAAAAAGAAAACTTATAGATTTTAAGTGGAAGTTCAAATAGTTATATACCAACCATACGTGATTTACTTCCATCAATTATTGCACGACAAATTCGTATTATACCAATTGTTACTGGATCTTTATCAAAATATATTTGTATGCGTTTAGAACTCTATGGTTGTTCTTATCAAGGTTTTGATAAATTTTATATTAGAAAATAAATTAATTTATTATAATTTTAGATGGATTGATATCATATTCAATACCTCAAGGTGATAAACGTGGTTATGATGCACAATTTTTTGATGAAACATATGATGGACAAAATGATAATGGAATATTGAAAGGTTAGTTTTCTATTTATTTTTGTTTTGAAAGAATAATTCATAACTTTACAATATATATATATATGAGTTATTCAAATAGAACAATCTTTTTTATTTTGTTTAAATAAAATTGATTGAAGTCGAAATAAAACATCTACAATTCTCTATTTCAATTATTTAGTCAATCTTTACAAAAAATTAACAGTCTTTCGACATAGTTTATTAGTTAAGATTTATATAGATGATATTGACAGTTATTATATTAAATTTTAGATGGTCTTGGTCAATTAACTGATGGAATCTTAGCTCATGATGATTATCGTTTAAAAGATAATGTTCAAGGTATAGGTCAAATTGGTTATGATTGGATTGGTTGGAAAAGAAAATCATTATCATTAATATCATATGTAAATCTTATTTTTCATTTTGATACTATTCGAAATTTTACATCAATTCGTATTCATACATCAAATTTATATATACGTGATATATATTTATTTTATTCAATAACAATTAAAAATTGTCAAGAGAAAAATATTAAAAATAATCATCAAATATATTTAATTATATCAAATGATTATATAAATACTAGTGCTAGATTTATTCATATTTCTTTTATTGATAAAAATACTTTTATTATAAGTAATTGTTTAAATATAATATTAACATTTAATAATAGAAGTAAATGGATATTAATTAGTGAAATTCAATTTGATTCTTTACCAATAAATATTAATATTTCGAAATTAGTAACAATTAAAAAAATTAATAATCATTTACCAAATTTAATAGGTATGATTTGTTATTGATTATCATTGAATTTCAATATTTAAATATTTTTTTTTTCTATAGATACTTATATTTCAACTGTTCACTACTGGCTTTGGTCAATTTTGGCATTAAGTTTTATAATTCTTTTTATATTTTTATTAATATACACTTATATTCGTTGGACTCAAACATATCAACAACAAAACAAATTTTGCAAGTAAATTTTCCATTTATTTGAGAGATCTACAAGAATTCAAAAGTTAGACAAGGAAAGTTTCGATTTCTTGTAAACCTATGAATAATTCCGATAATAAAGACTTTCCTATTTGTGTTTTATTATCGAAAGTAAAGATTAATGGGCAATCAATTTTGTGAATCATATTATTTTATTTTTTAATCAAATATTAGTTTCGACATGTGTTCGAGATCATTGTCTTTTTATACATTCCACAATTTCAAATCGTTTCTGAATTGTTAGCACGAGATCACATAAACTATCCTGAACATCGATTTTGAAAGGATGTTTGACAGCTTTCGCGGGGGAATTTCAAGTGAATGTAGGTCTTGTCTGACTAGATCATTTGTTTTCAGTTCTTAGTTGTGTGATCTACAGCGCTTCTGTTGTAACAAACATCTATTGATAGAGCCCGTCGTACACATAACTGAGCTTTAGATTGTATAAATATTCAGATATTTAAAAACAATTTCATACCGCTGATATACTTGTATGCTCAAATGTTCGAGCTCATGATTCACAACATTGTAGGAATGAATATCGTTTCCGATTAAGAGATGATCAATGCTACTTATTTATATTAGTCTTACGAAAAATTTTATCTACTACTGTATAAAATCTTTTAGTATAACAAATCGTTTGAAATTTGGTTCAACTTATCGAGCAATACCACGAATGGGTTCTTGTATTAATAATAGAAATACTTCATATATACCATCAATATCAAATAATGATATTCATCATTATTTAATTATTTCAACAAATAATACATCAAAAAGTATGAATAATTCAGATTTTAGTCCAACAACAATGTCAACTATTTATCAATCAAGTATTATTGATCCATATTTAACTGCTATATCAAATGATACACCGACATTGGTTAGTTTGATTTTTTTATCCAAAAGAATTAAACTTTAATCTCATTAGAATAAATGATACAGTATAGAATTGAAATTCTTTTAGGATAGTTCTTATGTTAAAAGTTAATTCAACTTGAACTATATAATTTTAAATGAAATTTGTTTTTATTTATTATTTAGATAACAAATCCTTACTCTTCGATTGATATGTATACTAGTTCATTATCTGATACACCACTTAGTATAGAGAATACAATAAAAAATATTCAAGGTCCATGTGGTAATAGTACATATGAATCTTTAATTTCATTAAATGATTCTCAATCGACAATATTTATACCACGTATTAATAATAAAGAATTAATTATTGAACAACCTTATTCAACAATTAATGGATGTTTTGGAACAGTAAGAATAATTATTTTGTTAAAATTTATTTTAAAAAATTTTGATATTTAAATAGATTTTTCAAGGTTATCTTTATGTTCATCATTCAAATGATAATCTTAAACGAATTCTTATTAAAATTTTAACAACTAATGATAAAAATCAAAAGTAAAAATAATTTTAATAATTAATTAATTAATTAATTATTGTTTAAAATATGATTGTTTTGATTGTTTTTTTTTTCTAGAGAATTATTTGATAAAGAACATTTCTTACTTAATGATCTTAATCATCCAAATATAGTTCAATTTTATGGTTATACAATTGAACAAAATTATGCTCTTATTGAACATAGTGATTTAAATGATCTTTATACATATTTATTAACATCAAAAAATATATCGTAAGTTTTATTTTATTTTAGTTTTTTGTCTTAATTAAACTAATCATCGAAATTTTCTTTTTGTTAATATCAAGAAAAAATCTTCGTCTTCATTATATGACTCAATTATCAAATGCTCTTTATTATCTTGAATCTCATCATATAATACATCGTGATATAGCTGCACGAAATTGTTTAATTTATAAAAATTATAAAATTAAATTAACAAATTCAGCTATGGCATCTGAACAATTTCAATTACATTATTATAAAATTAATCATATTCAATTACCTATTCGATGGATGGCACCTGAATCTATTTCAAATGTAAGTTAAATAACAAATACAGAATTGATTTATTTTAGAAAAAAAAAAAATTCTTTGTTTTTTTTATAGAATCAATTTACATCTCAATCAGATATATGGTCATTTGGTATAACACTTTGGGAAGTAATGACAAATTGTATAACATTACCTTATAGTTTATTAAATGATGAACAAGTTTATCAAAGATTAAAATCAGCAAACGATTTACATTTATCTAAACCAGAATGTTTAAGTAAAGAACTTATTGATTTAATGCTTGAATGTTGGCGTCCTTATAATGAACGACCAAAATTTCAAGAAATCTATACCTTTTTAAATAAACGTCTTTATGGGATGAATATTGTTTGATTGGAATTTTCTTTTAAATTCAAATCTTTATCAATTGTACATATGTGTGTGAATATTTAATTGTAAAATATGTTATAAAAAAAACCAATAAAACCATGTGATTTATTCATCATTTCGATTTTTTTTTCTAATTTTTAGTATCTTAATGATCATATAGAGATCAAATATAATCGTATCATTTTATTGACAATATCAAATATTCATTTTTGACGAACCCGTAAAAGCCAAATGTCGTTTTCCAACCACATTGTATAATAACAGCAATAAAAAAAGATTTGAAATCTTAGATGAAGAAACTAATATTTTCTCAGACTAGGATGGTCTAACAGATCATATACTGAAGAACAAATTATTCTTAAGTGACATTCAGATAGTACGATATTTTCAAAAACACAAATTTTTAAATTTTTAAATATCAATTTTTATTTTGCAAAAGTTTGTCTGCTCACAGATACGACGTGAATTTTTGTCTCTTGTGTGATAGAACTAATGAGGGAACATATTTGAGTGTGGGTGCGGGTGTGAATCTTTTAGAAAAGGCAAATGTTCTGCTGGTTCGTATTATTGACTTACGAGTTGATCGACATACTGAATTCGCTGTTGAGAATTTTTCTTGCACCTTTATATTGTTGCAAATGATAGGTACCCTTATGACGTTTACCATTAACTAGAAAATTCTTTAGATAACTTTGTTTTTCTGCTAATTCCGTACGAAATGAATATGATGTTTTTAAATATGAGTGAACGAGATACGACAGTGTAATCAATACAATGGTGTCAATTGAAATGAAATAATTTGTAATGAGATTTCAACTACTTTCAGTATTGGATTGTTGTGATTCTATTTTATCTGATTGGATAAGATAAATGAATCGATGCAACTGAAATCAGTTTCAAAAACTTTTTTCCTAGTATAATCGAAAGTTAAATGTCTAACATTAACATTGATATTATCAGGCCAATTACAATATATATATTCTTTCGAGTTCAACTACTAGAAGTTAATGTATCATTAATAGATAAAGACGTCGTTATACAGATACACGAAAAACTTTTCAAGTTCAAACATAAAAAAGTTTGTTTACCGAAAAACTTTTTTTTTTCATGTAATTTACATAGGTTGTTCTTATTAGGAACATTTTTCCGCTGGTTGTTCGTATTGGGCGCAGTTTTCCTAACAAGGACAAAGCAGTTTTTGTGAAAGTTGTAATAACTCAATTATTACAAGTCGAAAAAATCTGAACCTTGGGATCTTGATTCTTTGATTGATATGGAACATTTTCCGTTCGAGAAGTATATCAATATTGTCAAGTTCAGATTCAAAAAAAGCTTGTTTACTAAAAAATAACTTTCTTTCTATATGTTTTATATGAAGTGTTATTATTAGGAGCATTTTCTAGCTCATTGTTCTCATTAGGAAGAGCTCCGCTAATAGGGACAGATTCAATTAGTTGTAAACTACTGCTAATTACTCGATTAGTTTTCAAGGTGATCAGCTGATTTTTGTATCATTCATTAGAGCAGACATTTTCACACTCCAAGAGGTAAAAAATATTTTTACAATCATGAGAAATAATTTAATAAAAAAGGAATTATTCTCACCTCCGAAAAAAAACTGTTCTTATTGGAAACATTGACTGCGCTTAAATTATAAAAGAGAAAAGTATCCCGTGTCACAATAGTGCGAACTAAAAGAACGAGAACGTGCACTTTTGAAATCTTGACTGTAGGTGCTTTTTTCTTCCTAATCAACACTGGAGGTCATGAATGAAAAGAACGAACTCAAAGTACGTCACCCTTTCACATCCCGAAGGTACCAAAAGAGCATGTATGATTCTGTAGATAACCTTGCGCTGTCAGTCGTGTTTCAGACTTTCAACGCATAACGAACAAGAAAGAAAGCTTGCATTTTATCAATCTACATAAAGAGACACGTTTTTTTTGCTTTAACATTATTTTCTTCATCACTGGTGTTAAGGCAAAAAGTAAAATAAAATGTGGCTTTTATCTATGATTCTATTTCTCATATGCATTGGTCTCATGACCTATTACTTTTTTCTACTACAGCAACTTCACCGATACTTTAATCGACGTGGTATTCCTACTCCACCTTTCCATTTCTTCTTTGGCCATCTTAAAACGTTGTGGAATACTGCATCCTATCACCGTCAACTCGAAAGCTGGACGAAGCAATATGGCAAGATATATGGAATTTATCAAGGAACTGTTCCTACCTTTGTTGTTAGCGATCCTGATTTTCTTCAAGAAGTTTTCATTAAACAATTTTCCACTTTCCATGGGCGAAGGGAAGTTCTCACAAGGACTGGTGCTCATAATGTATTTTCCTCATCAGGTGTGCCATGGCGTCGGCATCGTCATGTAATAAATCCAACGTTCTCCGCAGTCAAATTGAAAATGATGAGTGCTCTTATTAATGGATGTGTTAGTGATGTAATGAAAAAATTAGCCGTTCATGCAAACAACGACGGTGAATTCAACATCTACTTATACTATAAGCGATTGACAATGGACGTCATATGTAAGTATATCCTCACGACTTTCTCTCGTTCCAAACAAATGTAAAGGATGATTAAGATTCTTTTGCAGTCTGAGAATTCTGAGCTTTCTCTGCCTTGAAATTATATCAGAATATGCCCAAGAACATTCCTTCATATGTGGTGGTTCGTCAAATCTTGCAACTGGATTTGTTGAGGCTTTATGTTCTCGTTGAGTGTTTCGAAAAGAGTCTACTTTTTGTTTTTATCGTATCTCTATAAATGTACAATCAAATGTACTAATCACAAATATCCTCTTGAGAGTGTGAGTTTGTGACTGTGACTATTGATCAAGAGAGCACTCACACCCACACTCACCTCTCTCATCATTGCATGTGCAGAAACGCTCCTAGGCATGTTTGAATATATTTCATGGGCAGAAAAAAAGCGAAATTTTTGTAAGCTAGGAGAGCATTCTAATTGCTATCATTGTCAGCGTTCTTTAGGCCGATGTGCATTTGGAATTGACACCGATTTACAAGATAATCCAGACAACATATATTTCAAGAAACTGGAAGAGCTCTTTGCTCATAGTATTCACTCGAGTTGGCTCTTCAGACTTGGCGAACTTGCCCCTCGCATAGCGAATGTTATTAACAAAATCTTGTTTGCCACCAACATCGCACGAGTATTAATCAATATATATCTTCTACCCTTGATTTCAAAGAAGCAGTTGCATGAACCACCAGGTATTTGGCTCTTCAACCGATTACACCCGATTATTGAACAGCGACAGCAGACGCCTACCTCACGAGTCGATCTTTTGCAATTAATGTTACAAGTTATGACTGAAGAGACAATTAACGTAAGTGTAATTAAGATCTATAGAACTTAAGTAACCTCTTTTTGTGTAGCGAATTATTTTGAAGTTATTGGCAGTCTTGATAGTTTCTAGTAAGGCACCATTAATCCAAAAGAGTAAGAAAAAAATAGACATCGTCAGATCTTATATGGGTGAATAGACTCATGATGAGTAATTACTTTGTACTGTTGTAAAAGAGATTTGGGTGGACAATTTTTTAAGTCGAGATTGCTTTCCAGGACAAAAACAACTATTCTGAGAACGATCAAACTGACGTCTGGTTGTTATAGCGTTCAGCTTTCCAAAGTATTTCACTCACACTAGACGTAAAAAACTGAGCACAATGATCTGCACGAATGTGTTTACTTTTGCATTGTGAAAACTTTCGAATGGCAAAGGAAATTGTACTAAAACTTTTATTGCGGCCCCTAAGAAAAAGTACAGTGAACAACGAAAAGTTTTCGATTCGGTCAGAGAGATTGGAGATAGTTATAGATCCATTAAAAATATATTTCTCTTCTAGGATGAAGTGCAAAACAACAACAAGACAAACTATCGGCTAACTCGAAGAGAAATTATCACTAACATCCTTGTTTTTATGGCGGCAGGATATGAAACAACATCAACTGCTTTGGCCTATGCAACGTATGTGCTTGCTAGACATCCAGATGTTCTTCAGAAACTTCAGGCTGAAATAAACCAACTTCCATTAGACAATGATGATGAGTTCGAAGAGGATATAAAAAAATATCCCGATTATGATACAATCGCGCAAATGCCTTATATGGACATGTTTGTTTCCGAGGTCTTGAGAATGTATCCTATTGGAAATATATTCATTCAAAGATGTGCCTCCGAAGATACAGTCGTACAGGGAATTAAAATTGAAAAGGGTAAGTATGTATTTTTATAGTACGAAAGAGTTCGATTTTTTATGTATCAGAGGATTCATAATAATCGCAGCATAATTTGCAAGTGTTTCCCATTTGAATTTTTAAATGTGTTCTAAAAAAAATCTTTGTTGATCTATAACAGCTCTATATGGAACTATGAACCTATCTATGTACGGAAATCAAAATTGAAAAGACAAGTTGCCTCTGTTTTTTGCATCGACTTCATGATAATTTGATCAGAAAGTAGCTTCTCAAACTACATGTTTTTTATCTTTTCAAGGTACCTTAGTGCATGCTGATGTCTATTCAGTCCATTACGATTGTGAACTTTGGGGTCCTGAAGATCCATACGTTTTCTTTCCCGAGCGTCATAAAACAAAACGTCATCCAATGGCTTATCTGCCATTTGGAGCGGGACCACGGCATTGTATTGGTATGCGATTTGCACTGACTGAGATCAAAATTCTACTAGTACGGTTACTTCGCAAATATTCGATTCTGCCTGGTGAGCATCTCGAAAGCAAATTCAACATCCGTGAACGGACAGCCATCGCACCCGAAGAAGTTTGGGTTAAACTGGTACAAAAAAGTGCTTGAGAGACGATGACACAATACTTATAAGTCCAAAACTGTACTTTTCTGAGAATATTGCTTGAATAAGGGTGTGGGTGTTGGTGTGCGTGAAACAAGGACCACACCCTCAATTTTTTTCATTTTTTTGTAAAATTTGCTAAAATGATCATTTCGCTTTCAGAAAAGAACCATAGAAAATCAACAGGATTATTATTCATTGGGAACTTCTTCCAACTGGCTGCACCATCACTGCTGATTTCTATTGTCAACAATTGGACAGAGTTGCAGCAAAACTCAATGGTAGAAAAATACGATTTTGTACAAACAAGAAGAAATAAAACTTTTCTTCTATTATCAACAAAGACACTAGCATGCCTTCAAAAAAAATATTATTCTTCGATCTAAAGATTTAGAATCAACAAAAGGTATATATTTTGCTTATTACATTAAACTTTGAAATTTTTGTTTTGAATATTTCCAAGTGAATCTGTATGTATTGATCATTGTATAGCAAAATATATCGACGTAAGAAAATTGAAAAGAAGAATTTATTTTTCAAATGAGATAATTTTCAAGTTCATGATCGAATCGATAAACAATTAGTTTTGATTATATTATAACAACAACAAACATGGATACAAGTTCAACAAATAATCCATGAAGTGTTTTTAGTTCTTATGAATAAGAATTTATTTTACACTTTTAATGTTGTTTGAGATAAATTTTTGTTTTATACGTGCACAAAAAGAACGGAACATCATGTTAATCATGCTCTGTTGTCCATGAATCTAATTGTATATGACGACAAGTTTGTTCGTCTTGAGGTTCATAGACACGTTCAATAGGAAGGCGAAGTTGATCAAGCTTTTTTTTTGGTAAAACAGCATTATTATATTGAATTTGAACAAATGAGGTTATATCAACAATACGTAAAATATCATGACCATCAAGAAAACTTTCAATTTTTTTAAGACCTAATTGAATAGCTCGACGACCAATCACTGATTGACCATCTGGATGATGATCAGGATCCCATTGTAAACGAATTGATCCCCGATGAGTTTTTGTTTTTGAATCTATTTTATCATTTTTCGGAAGACCTTTATGTGAACTATGTATGGCTTGTGCTAAATAACTATCAAACGCTGAACGTCGAAGCCATATAGCTAAAATATGTTGTTGATTGAATTTTGTAGCCCAATGAGATCGATACATCATCCAAAGGAAATTTGTTTTTATCCCTAGGTTAATAAAATTTCTATTTTTTTCTTTTTAATAATCTTATTAGATTTCATATCATACATGTCATACGATTTTGATTATAATCAGGACATCCTGTAAAACGTCCATTTTCACAAGCAAATTGTGCTATATCTTGATTATATGCCTGATAGACTATAATTGATTCTTCATCAAATGATGCTAAAATCCATTTTCCATGTGGGTATTTCTTGTTTGGCCAATGACGTACTGCATCGTTATATAATTCAGTAGCGTTTTCATATTTATTTAACCAATCCATGGATTTTAATGATTTCCTCAAAAATACAACAGAACTTAACAAATTTTTCAGGCATATGCTAAACGACAAAACATTTTTATAGTGTTTGAAGTATTAGCACATAGTTGCGCAATAACATATAAATATGTTGTAATAAGGAATATGTTATTTCATCATAACATTCTTATCACAAGATTCATAGATGTAAATAGTTTTGCTTCTAGTTTCATGTGAATTCAAATTCTTTCTGAGTAAATCTCTATAGAGAACTACTATTACGATGGCAAGGATTAAAATAAGTTGTCAGAAGTGAACAGAATTCGGCGTAAATTAAACTCGAGTCCATCTGTATTAGTTGAAATGTATAAAAATTCTCGTTAGATGTCCTTTATGATCGAATTAATTTCATGATATTTAATCATTACTTTATTCTGTCATTGTCTTGATGAGTAGTTGAAATCTAAATAGTTGGCTACTTCCTGAGAAAAGAGCTCTAAAATATCATTTAATGTCTCGAACTAGCCAATTTATTTTTTTTCTTGTACTCATGTAGGTTTTTCTTATTACCGACGTCAATATATTTGTGCAAATTTTCTCTAGAAATGGACTGAATACTCGATGTAAAATGTCTGTAATTACTAAATGACAAAACCTAACAATATATACCTTATGTAGTTTTACAGATTGTCAACTAGCAGTTCCCATGCATTCTTAAATAGAACCTCAACAACATTCTTGACTAGATGTCAGACTTTATTTTTCAACAAACTTGATAATTAATTTTCACAAGCTCAAATGGATTTGTAGACAGATGTATATTATCTGATTCGATATGTTTGTATCTACTCTTTGTGAACGATAAAACTTAGAGGTTTCTATCATGTTACTATCAAAAATACTTCGATATTTCTTGTATTTTGAAATGAATGATAATTAAATACTAAAAAGTAGAAAACGTTTAATTGTATTCACTTTTAGAAGACTTAAAAAAGAAAGAGATGTCGATTTGTATGAAAAATGATGGATTAAACAAGACGCATTTGAATAATTTTTTAAATGACGATTAAAAATTTCCAAAGTAGTCTTTCAGAACTCCATGTTTTCTTAACTTAAAATTTTTTTTTTCGTGGTTAAAATAGCTGCTTACAAAAGATAACTTCTAAATTTTATATTGGTAAGTGTAACTAAAATAAATAATTGGTGCCATTGACTTCTTTTACTATACAGGCGTCTACAGAATACAGAAAACTGGCCATTATAGTAGGTGTCCTCTGTTGCCTGTCTTTAGCAATGTTCTTGTTAATAATTGAAGGTCAGTCTGCAGAGACGAAGGTATCATCAGATGTAATTGATGCTTGAACTAATGTCTAATCAAGTATTCGTAGCCGATAGATATACTGTGATCACTGAACTCAGTAAGATTCGCACAAATCGATAGCATCGATTTTCCTCTGCTTATGGTGATATTTCGAGGTTCCTATCGTATTCCAATAAAAAATTCTTGAAGAGCTACTACGAGATCTTCTATTTTTAAATGAACTACAAGTGACTTCGAGATTTCGGAGGCACCTAAATTTTAAAGTCAACTTCAACAAATATATAGAATGTTCAGAAAATCATTCCTGAAAGAAATATTTGAATATCTCCGTCATAGTTTGACCTAATGGACTGATACTTTTATTACTAATAGAAGAGTGTTCGTAGCTCATATTCATAAGAGAAACAATTGACAAAAACTATTTTGAAGTGTTACAATCGATTTTAAAGAACTATAACCCTTGGTGGGCTACAAAAAAACACTATATGGGTGTGGGTGTAGGTATTGGTGTGAAGAACATAGCCACGCACGTGCACACCCACATCTACACCCCGAATAAACTTTATTCATTTGTGTGTAAAATACATTCTTAAGCATATATTAGAAGAAAAATTTCTCACATGAAACTAACTCATCTTAAATTGACGAACGTATCAAAAATAAATGGTATACTACTTAAAGAAGAAAAATTTTCATTAGTTTTAGATTTTGTTAGAATTGCCGATGTCTTTGAGTTTTTTTGTGTACATTTCTTACTATAGATATTTTCTAGCTGGATAAGATCGAAAATCAATGATACGTATTCAAAAGTCAATAACAGCAACAGCAATAATGATTTTCTGCAATCAGTGTCACTGCGTATATTATTAGTACTGTATTTACCATGTATTTAATCGTTACTATATGGCTTTTCTATGGGTTCAGACTCATCTGGGATAGTCATCTTCATGTCGGAGCCATATTGGTCTTTGGCTATTGACGGTTAAATGAAGATCATTGAAGTGATCAGTTATATTTTGACTCAAATATTAGATGCTTTACTTGTCGGTGCATTGCTACTCTGAGTTTATGGAACTGGTACTTCATTAAGTACGTCAAGACTTCAATCAGATACTACTATTATGCATTATTTCGTTATTGGATTTCTATTTACAAAAGTACTTTGATTTGTTATCTTCTTTACTAACTTTTTCCATAGAATTTGTTGTTTTCACATCATTTTTACTGAGTGTTGAAACGAGAGGATGCTCTCTATCGAGTTCTTGGCAATGATTAGATTCAAATGTAGCTTCTAACATATGTGTATCAATGGTATGGACGTCATTATAATCCTAATAATATTTCATTTCATTAATATTTTGATATTAATCGATTTTATTATGTTTAATTTTGGTAGTTTTGTTACATTAGAATCATTGATTCATTTCTTTGATTATTTTATCTATGTATATTATATTTATCTGTTTAGAAAAATTTCAAATTTCGTATCAAATGAATGTCAAGATTACATTAGTTAGTCTTTTCTTTTCATTATATATAAATCATTGTTTATCAAAATCGAACCTGGTTGACATCTTGAGAAAGTTTTTTTTACATTTGTCGAACAAGCAGTTTATCAACCATAGGAACTGCAAATCCAAAATTTTGATCAAAACAACATAAAACATGGAATTTTTTCATCATTTAATTTCATATAGCTGTTTGTGTTAATTGCTTATGGATTAAAATATAGAAGCGAAAGGCATATTTTTTTTTACTAAACATTTGTGCTGCATATTTACTGTCTTAGACAAAGTAATAATACATTTATCTTAACAAACACAATAGAAAATCGAAAGAATCACGTATTGTTATTAGGATATAAAAGAAGAGAAATATTTAAAAAATGTATAAGGCTTTATATAGTGCGAAAGGTTATTGTTATTCAGTATTATTGTGTTTTCAGTTTATATAACAAAAATAGTACTATCGATTTGCAAAATATACTCTCAAAAAACGGCTTGTTCAAACATAATGTTGTTGCGTTTGAGAGCTAGAAACTTCATTCAAATACCATTCAACGTAGCTTATCACACTCTATTTATACTATAATAATGACCTTTCTTAACTGAAGTCTCGGGCCTCTCGAAAGAGTTTATCATCGCGTAACGCTATCACATAAAAAAAACCTTTTTGTTCCAGTGGTACTAATGAAACTCTAATTTCTTGCCAAAGTATTAAATCTTGTTTTCGATGTCGAAATCCAAATTTTTTTAAAGAACAAGTGTCAAATTCGTAATTAGCATGAAAAATTGCATCTAATAATGCATTCACATCTGTTCAACACGAAAAAAAAATTTTCAAAAACTTGGTTAGCAAAGCGTCGTGTTACGCAGACAAGCCGAAAAACAACAATATTTACTATCCAATAGAAATAACGATAAGTATGTTGAATATTTGTTGATTGTAATTGTATTACCTAGCTTACTCTCAACAAAATATCAATATATTCCTAAAATAGAGAACTTTATTAATAACCATAATGGTAATTCCATCTGAAATAAGTTTCAATGATTTGAAATGCTTATCCAATTAATATATTATCATAATCTATAGTTAAAATAACCATACGATAACTTGGATATTCATTTGAACTATC